TGGAGGGCTCTCAGGGGGTCATCCCCCATTGGGAGGGGCTCGTCCCCCATTGGGGATCCCATGGGAGGTGTCCCCCATTCCACCTCCCCTCTGCCCCCCGTGTCCCCCCACTCTGGACCAACCCCCCCAGCCTGGAGGTGGCCTCCCTGGCAGAGGAACTGGCCCCTCTGGGTCCCACCTGGGGTCAGCACCGAGAAGCTCCATTTTAAAGCCTTTGAGAGTCCCCAACCCTCCTTTATCTCCCTGGACCTTTGCTCCCCGTGCCATTTATGTCCCTCACACCCCGGTTTAACCGTCCTTCCCTCTCCCAGCCGCACCGGGACAAGGTGTCCCCAAGGGCTGCCAGCTCTCCTTCCACAACAACAAAAAAAAAAAAAAAAAAAAAAACCAAAAAACCCCCCAAAACCAACTTATTTTTCATTTTCACAAGAGAATAATTCAACTGGAAGGGCCTTACGACAATCCGTTCATCCACCTTTTTTATCCGTTTTTTTTTTTTTTTTTTTACTCCTCCTCCTCCACGGGCACAACCTCAGAGATAAAATTTAACACAAACAGCCCAAATCAGAGGGATTTTTTCCTCCCCTTTTCCCCCCCAAATCGTGGAAAGGCTCAGAATTAAATCATGGGTCAATATCTCTATATTTAAGAGGCGGATCCATTGGGGTTTCTCTCAGTTTGGGGGGGAATATTTTAATCCCCAGCCCTGGCAAAAAAAAAAAAAAAAGCCTTCTTAAATTAACACTGCTGCTGCCTCCTCCTCCTCCCCAGCACAGGGGGTTGCCCACGTGAACCAAAGTGGGCAACTATGGCCCCAGAGTGGGCAACTATGGCCGTTTCCCCACCGGTTACGCAAAGCCTCTTACCCAAGAGACACAACCAGGACCAGGGTGGGGTGGAAGGGGGGGGGAACCACCCCCTCAGAGCTACGATTAGGAAAGAGCCAGTGGCAAGTAGATCCCTTTTCGTGGGAGCCACAGTAGCCCCCCCAAATCTCCAGGTTGCCAGAGAAGCGCCAGGATGACAATTCTCCCATCCCAGGGATGCTGCGGGAAAGCTCAATCCCATGGGATGGGGTGATGCCCAGCACCCAGACACTGTCCCCCCCGCGATGTGACATCATTATTTAGATGCCACCTGCATCGATTCACTTGCCACCCGCGTCAATTCACTTGCCACCCGCGTCATCTTTCTGACGTCGCGTTCAAATACGAAGAGGGCACCGGGTAAAAAAACCCACAAAACTCTCCCAAAACAGGATGTGGCCCCCCCACCCCACATAGGCAGAATTGGGGGATTTAATTCCTTCCACCTGAGGTGTTATTTTTAAGGAAATCCCTGGGAGCAGCATCCCACACCCCAAAAAAAACAGTCCCCCCCCCAGCCCCGCTGCGGCTGCTCACCTCCTTCTTCCCCCAGCTGATTGCCCTCGTTTGTGGCTGTAATTAGAGGCGGTGGGGGGGGTGTGTGTGTGTGTGTGTCACGCCAGAACCACCAGACCTTACCCTGCCCCCCCAGACACGTGTGGGAGCCCAGGGACTCACGCTGCCATGCACAAGAGGGGGAAGACACCTTCCCCCCCCCTTCTCCTCCTGGCTCAGACATTGCGTGGGAGACACAGACCTATTTACAACCACTTTTTTTGTTTTTGTTGTTTTTTTTAAAAACTCCAATTATTCCTCATCCCAGCGCCTTGACATTTTGGCTTTTCCCAGTTTTCCTGGCTGCAGGAAGCTCGGGGCCAGAGCCACTTGGCTTTTGGCGCAGCCACGGTGGGTTAAAAATTATTCCCCTCGAGCCACGGGGAGAAGGAGCTCCTTCCAGTTAGCCATTAAATGGGAAAAGGGGCTCCTTTCTCCAGGTATTTTTTTGTCTTAAACCCATTTGGATTTGGGGAAAAAGCAAAAGAAAACTAACTGACCCCAGGAAAATTTTCACCCCCGTGAAAAATCCTCACCCCCGTGAAAAATCCCCTCTTACACCTTCTGGGTTTCCAGCCAAGCAGCATCTCGGGCAGATTTTTTTCCCCCCAACGCCTCCTGCACCTGACCAGCCCTTCCTCCCTCCTCTTCCTCCCTGATGCTCCCCCCCAGCCTCACCCAGACGCTTTTTTTGGGGTGTGGGGGGGTCCTACCTCCCAGTGAAAGAGGCTTTCACAAGACCCCAAAACTATCTGATTTGATGAGGTTTGAAGCGGCTGCTTTGGGAGGAGGAAGACGAGGTTTACGTTGGTCGCCCCGAGAGAGAGCGGTTGGTGCTGCTTTAACCGGAGAGGAAGATGAGTCACTGCCCGGCTGGTGTGGGAGGAGAACACGCCACAAAACCCCGCCGGCTTCTCCAGAAAACCAGTTTCTGAAGAAACTCTTCATTGCCAAAGGGCTCCAGCCTCAGGAACTCAAATTATTGGAGGGGGGAAGCAGGGGGAGGATGTGAAAATTAAAAAGAAGGAACAACCATCTCTACCTGTCCCACACCGCCCACCCACACCCCCCCACCACCACCTCCAAGGTCACTTTGGGTGCTGGGTTGTGGCCCCCTCCAAGGAAAAATACACACACACCCCTTTTTTTCCTCCTGCAGGAAAATCCCCCGGTACCTTCGTTTTTGATGAACGATCCCGGGATTTGGGGGGTGGGGAGGTCACATCCAACAGGACCACGGGGACAGCTTGGAGAGGGAGGTAAAGTCACTGGGGAATCACAAAAGAGCATGATGATGGTCACAGTGGGGATTTGAGGGGTGTGTTGTGTCCTCCCCCCTCACACCCCCCTAAAACTTCACAAAGTTCCGAGATTAAATTTAAGACGTATTTTAAAGTCCATCGTTAATGGGTTGGTCGAGTGGGAAACCAACCTGTTGATAAGGAACAGGCTGGAAACTCTACCCAGTAAACACCCAGTAACTCACCAGTTTCAGAGCCCCCCCC